TCAACTTATCAAGAAAGCCATTGGGCTTGAAGTTTGGCTAAATTGAGCCTATTAAAAAGCTAAATATATAGCCTAAAGTAGGCTTGAGTGGTGATACCACCATGCCCAAGTAATAGTACTACCAGAGTCAATCAACAAGTACTATTTAAAGCTTTTCGATTATAGTACCACCTAGAGCGATAGTAGTACCACCCAAAATTCAAATTTTATGATAGTAGCACCATCAGAGTTCAGAATTACAGTATCAAAAGTTATGATAGTAGTACCATCCAATATTAGTGGTAGTACTATTCATACCTCAAAATTTCAAGGATTTAAATTTTTTGGCTCCATTTTTTAAGCCTTTTGAGGCCTATAAATATGTCACTTATGCTTGGTTAATAGAGCATCCGTTCATGAGTTTATGAATTGTTGTAGCTCTCTCTTTAGCATTGTTTGAGTCTCTTCCTCCCTCTTAAGTTTGGTTATGATACTAAGTTATAGAAGGTGAGAGATCTCTTGTAAAAGAGTGAGTGTAGATGCTCTTTTATAAGCCTGTAAAAAAGAGAAAAGTTGTAACAAGAATAGTTAATCTTTATTCGTTAAAAAGAAAATTAATAGTGAAAGTCAGTAGCCTCAACGGAAGAGGAATAGAGAGTGAACGTAGGTTGGAAAGATCAAACTACTGTAAATCAGTTTATATTTTTTCCCTTGCTTGTGACTTTTGTTTATGATTACTTACTTATTATCATTTACTTTACTCACAAACCTTACTTCCACTCGATATTTGATTAATCATATTTTCGATATGGATTTTTGGATCGATCTTTAAAATCGATTATAAATTTCTATAAGACTAATTTACCTTGCTTTTTAGTGTCATTAAGATCATAACAAAACTCATTTGAGGAAAAATTTTAGCTAAAATTAAATTTTAAAAGGTAAAAGAAAGAATTGATAAGTTTAAGAACAATCTATTTTGGTATAATCTATAAGTTATAGTAAACATCCGAACAAGCAATTATGCTCCAAATTATTCAAGGCATTGTGAGAAAGATATACAAATCTAGTTTCTAATAAAATAAGTTTTATATAAATTGGAGTTGCTATTGAAGGTTATTGAATACAAATAGGTTAGATCATTTTATCTCTGTTTAGTAGAATTCAAGGAATCAATTGAAATAAATGTTTGAACAGATATTTATACTTCAAATCATTCAATTAAAATTTTGGTTAGAGTTTTGTATAGAATATTATAGTTAAAATAAAGAAGATAGATCAGTATTCTTATAAATTTTAGAATTATAAATTTACAATTTAGTTGAAGTTGATGCTATTAGAAAAGGGCAAAGCTCTACTAGTTACTCATATAAGAAGGAATCAAAACTCAAATAGACTGTAGGATCAGATAAAACACTTGCCAAAAAAGCTAATTTCCTAAGATCTTTAATTAGCTCAAAATCGTCAAGCCAAACTAAGTACATTTCTCTTCTTCTTCTTCTTCTTCTTCTCCTTCAATTCTTCTCTTCTCTAGTGTGAGGTGGATGGTAGCATAGGGATTAACCAAGTAAAACTCTAACTTTTGTTCTCCAATTACAATTATTTAAATTAGTCTTATTGATGCAACGTGGCAAGCATGCATCAAAAATTATTTTAGGTGTGAACATAAAGCAAGCATGCGTGGCACCCTCTTTTGAAAGTAGTGTTGCAAATCATCCCCTTTTTCTTTTTTTAATACTAACTTAACATGAATATTTTTATAAATTATAACCAAATTCTAAGATTCATAATTATGTCCATAGTACTAAGTTTTTAATATAAAATTATTTAATATAAAATTTTATTAAATAAATTATCATATTAAAATAATTAAAATTTTATTAATATCATAAATAATTAAGAAATAAATGATATTACACCTCGCCCTGATAAAAATTTAGTCATCTAAATTATCATACCTCAATTAATAAAAAGATGATTATAAGCCTTCTTAATTTTCTCCTCTAGGTCGATTGTAGTTTCTTTCGATATTTCTCAACTATTGAACCAAAGGAATGATATGATTCCTTCCACAGTTTCCCCTTCGTACCATATACCTAACTATTTTTAACTTTTATATGATGAAAATGTTAGGAATGTGTTGGCACTAAGAGGGTGAATGCATTAGTGCTTTCGTTAAAATCATCGGTTTGAAAAACTTTCGTTAAATGAAAAACCGTATTGGAAAGATGTTAACTTGAAAGCGTATAGAAGCATAGTGAATAAGTAAGTAAAACAGTTTGCAATGTGAGTAAAGAGCTCAAAGTAAATGCAAACTAAGTTTTATAATGGTTCAGTCGTTGTGACCTACAACTACTCCCGATTCCTCTTCCGTCGATGCCACGGGCATCCAGTAATGATCTTCCTTCAATGGGCAAAGATCAACTACCCTTTTACACTCTTCTCCTTTTCATGGGTTCAGGAGATAACTTTTACAACCTCTCTTTCTTAGACCTCATTTCTTCCGTTAGAAGAACTTTATAAATACTAGGAAGAAGAGACTCTAAATCCTAAGAGAGATTACATAATTATTTCAAGTATTCTTTGCCCCTTTTCAACTCAATCTCATACTCAATTCTTACATCTCTAGGAATAGCTAGGGTATTTATAGACCTCAAATAACTTCAAAATTGGACCAAAAAACTATCTCATCCCAGGTTTCCCGGGTCCATACGGTACCACTACCTGTGTTGGACGATACTATCTCCTGTAGCACTAACAATGGGCGGTACCACCGCCTGACATAGTCTAGAAGACTGTGTCTAAGCGATATCACCGCCCAAACTAGTGATACCATCGCCTGACACTGGGCAGTACCACCACCCAATCTGACGATACTACCACCTGATATAGTCTTGGAGATTATGTCTCGAAGACTGAGCCACTAACGGTGCCACTACTTGGACCGACGATGCCACCACTTGACCCAACTTTTGGGTCACTGAATGGGCTTTTCTCTTGGCCCAAAATAACCCCAATTCGAGGCCAACTGACCCCTAATTAAGTTGGCTTAATTATATTCTAAATCAACCCAATTACGACCTAAATTAACTTGATCTAGACAAATTATTATAGAGCATGAATCATTTGTTGTTGGGCATGTCATTGGATCTTACAACGCTTCATTCGATCATTCGGCATATTGTCCAATCGGCATGTTGACACTCATAACTTCCGATCTCCTTGATGCAATGTCCGATCTTTCGGCCAGATGCCCGAATTCATGGCTCGAAGCCTTCTGCCAATATGTCGACCGATCCTCCGACCCGACGTCCAATCCCTTGACATATTCTAACTCTAGCCCAACATTCAATTCCTCCTGCTTGAATCAATTTGTTTGTCCTGATCGAAGCTAGTCATGTGATACTCAAAATGCAGATTAGATTATAACATTATCAATTGGTTTCATCGTAAAAATATGAGATTCAAAAGAAAACACAAAATAAAAACATTGACAACAAATAAAACTAGGGCTTACGGTAATGTTTTCTGTCCCATACATGTTGCCGATAAGAAAACATTTAAAAATATAAGAAAACAATGGAAAAAAAGAATTGAAAAGTATTATGGATAAGCGTTGAACACCTTGACTACATTGCGCCATGACAGTGTGCTTTTGAATCAAGGAAGAGGAGATGAAGGGTCGGTCTAAACCTTATACTACATTGCGCCATGATAGTTTGCCATGACTATACCTATGGTCTAAACCAGTCCATAGGGTATCTTAGGTTTGTCTATAAGGTCCTATTTGGAGTATCTTGAGAATTGTCTATTCGGTATTATTCGAATTAAGAGGTATTATTTGGGCAAACCGAAAATAGGAGATGCTTTTTGAGAAAAATTGCCCTTAATATTGTATAATATATAAATATTATTTATTTTGGACTGATCTAAGTTTGGGGTTGGTTAAACCGATTCTATTAAGAGGTAAATGATTAAAGAAAAAGATAAAAATGGTTAAGGATACTTTTTGTTTATAGGGAAAAGTAGAGAAACGGCAGGAAAAACCTAAGCACTCTAGCAAAAAAAATATGTAAAAACAATAGCGTAGGCAAATCGCCTATTATTATTTTTAATCTCTTTTGTTTTTTGTGTTTCTGTAATTCTATTGCTAGCATTTTTTGTGTTTTGTACCAAAGCAACTCTTGATTGGGGTTGATTTGTGGTTTGACTTTTAATTTTACTCCTCTTAAATCTACTCAATGTCATAACAAAATATCCCATCTAATCAAACTTTTGGGCAAAGTCCCAAGATTTAATCAGATTAATTTTATATCAAAAAAAAAAAAGCACTAATTAGCTTAACATAATTTTTTTACGTTTGAACGTTGGTAAAATTGCAACATGCAGCTAATCTCACCACTATAGGAAGGCTGGCCGAGCAACATAACAAACACTTGGCATGAATACAGATAAAAACAAGTCACGAAGAATGTCTTCCCAGGTGGGGCTGCAAAAGGACATCAATTGTGCAAACAACTTTTCACATCTAACAGCAACACAAGGCAATACAGTAGTACATTGTAGCTCAACAGCAAGTTGAGCTCTTCATCACCATGGCTCGCATGCTGCTATATTTATACAAAATAAATGTGCGAGTAGACTAAAGATTTGAGTCAAATAACTCCATTTAGTCACCATGACAGTAAATCTAACTTCTGATCGGAGGCAATGTATTGAAAATGGACTTCCGATGAGTCATCATTTGTCAAACTATCTTACTCTACAAAACTTCTAACAAAACAGGAAAAAGAATTAAATTGTATAGTCAAACTCTTTCTAAGAACTTGTTCCGATTAAGAACGGTAAAGCTGAATGATGTATAGATGGGTAATCAAAAATAGTGAGCAGGACTATGATATAATCAGGAAACAGATTTATGCGTACAGAACAAAATTCTTAACCTTTCTGACAAGTGTAACTTGACCACCAAATGTTTCATCAATAGACATGTAAATGTTTTGTAAGGGGTATCAATCAGAGACCACCACCAAATGTTTCATCAATAGACATGTAAATGTTTTGTAAGGGGTATCAATCAGAAACCTGGTAGCACCAGATTTCTACATAGAAATAATCATTGTGTTCGTGAATTATCCTGTCAACAACTAAAAGAAGCACACACATAAGTGTCAAAAAAGGTACCAACATTCTTTGAGAACTCAGCGATGATTAGGGACCCATCAGTGTAAACTCAATCTCCTTACAAAAGCAGAGATGGTAACTTTTGAGTATCAACCATGGGAAAAATTGGACTCAACAAGGACAATTATCTAGTTTGACATCATTGCTGAGTCGCATGTCTGAAGTGCTTGGCTGGCAAAATATCTGACGTCCACATCTGGGTCCTCGCCAAGCTCAACAAGACATGGCCGAACCGTCTGCTCCACCACCTGCAATTAGTTTCCAGCATAATTTACCACATTTAGATCTTTGAGGAGATTATTGTAGGGGATGACTCTTAATGTTTTATAGTACTCACAGAGTGGTCAAATATGGGTACGAGTGACTGCAGGACCTTTGCCACATTGAATTTGATGTTTGGTACCCTGAATATACCACATCAAATTTGCATTTATTAAAAATTTAATAAACACAAAGAAGGATAGAATTATACTTATTTGTCAACCTACCTGTCCTTTGAGGCAGAAATGATTACAGGCAGTAGCTTTTGGCAAGTGATATCTGAACCCAAGACAGGAGATAATAGAGAGATAGCTTGTAGAATGGTCATGCGATGCAGGTAATGTGGATTACTTATCTTCTCCAACAACTAGCAAAATTCAAGTATAACGTCAGACTATCGAATTAACAAACTGATCTTTAAGCATTAGCACAACCAAACTGTGACACTTTAAACAGAGAAACAAAAACATTAGCTAACACGAAGCCGCTTTGTATGAGAAGAGATGGTTATAGTGCATTTGAAACTCGTATTTGTCATCCAAGTAGTGCTGGCAGGCAAGTACCCACGTGTGCTTCTGAGTTCTAAGATGGAGCTCAGATAAAGGGGCAAATATCAATATTATACATCCTTAGTAAAGAAACAATTGATGAGAAAACTTTTCATGCTTTTAGGTGAAAAGTTTAAGTGATAGGAATCTCAACATTTAACTATGTCAAAGTTTCACAAGGAGAAAACACCAAAATCATATCCGCGAGACTAGAAGCAGAGCATATAAATTCTGCTAATCCATTGTGCTTCAGAAAGAACCTTACAGAAGAGCTGGCCACCTGCTGTGCAGAATTGAAATACTCAAAAAGGACACAAAGCGAGAGAGAAAAAAAAGCAAAATCATAATTTTCAGAGGGTGCTTTGAAAGAACCAAAGTACATGCATCAGATGTTTACGGCACAAGTAGCTTATCAATTTTGAATTTCAATTTGTGTCAAAGGCTCAAACAAAGGCACATAAAAACACAACAAAATCATTCTCATAGAACTTTTATAAGCTGGTGTGGTAGCACCCTACTGCATTATAATCTGTATCATCTTCTGAAGACCAAAGAGAGTTTATTCATTAGCATCATGCAACAACATACGGTACCAGTTGAAAACTGTTCAATTACATGCTATACATTTGTGTATATGTTTGTAGCAAGCCATGCTGCTCATATTTTAAATTGATCAACTCCTCTACAGTTCCCTGGCTTCAGAGCCACAAACAATTTTGTAAAAGAACTACGATAATCTTGAGGTAACTGATTATCAAAAAATTAAGCCTATTGCACAACTTCTGCCGCTGAGGGGTCTGGCGAGCGTCAGAAGAATGCAGCCTTACCCCTGCAAGCAGAGAGGCTGTTTCCCCGCAGTTCGCCAAGTATTCCATAAAGAAAATCTGCTGGAAGAATATATATACATGAATGACAAATCAAAGCCGCAAGCACCAAAATGAGGACAGAAAAACAAACAATGTTTGAGAACCAAAAATAAAAAAATAAAAAAAACCTGTGGCACTATATGCTGCATTGCCCATTCTGGACCAAATTCTTCAGCAAGACGCTTCAAGTTATTAGTAGCTGCCTCTCGAATAGAGAAAACCTGTAAGATGGTCAAAAGTCAAACAGCAATCCATGACCATTTGATGCTATACAAAAGAAAATGGCTTATAACTTTGACTCTCTTTGCTAAATTTTAAGCTAAATGTCACATAAACCCTGTGCACAAACAATAAAGTTATAACATAACCAAGAAATAAAATAGGTCACAAGTTCCTACTCTAAGCTAACAAATCACCTCAGGAAACAAGTATTATATGTAAAAGAAGAACTCTAGACCTCAAATTGTACAAAACCAGACAAAAACCAATTGGACTATTTATGTAGTGATAGATGTACGCAGTGTAGGGGATTCACACAAACCTTGAAAACCATAATGGTTATTTCATGGAATAAATGCATTAATCACATTCAAATGCATATCCAGGAGTCCAATTCCTAAGTGGAAAAAATAAAAAAGATATGGAGACAAGTCTAAGAAATAAAATTGTTAATATCAAAATACTTTCAATATTAAGAAAATGTGAATAATTACAAAATTTTGATCGAAGAACACCTCCAACCAAAAATATCCACTCTAACAACATCATATAACAACTATGATCAAAGAATTCTATAAAGAATCTCCACAATTAGAAATGCTATGTTCCCACAATTAGAAGAAATAGAACAAGAAATAAAAATAGAAGATCCTATTGAATCATAAGTATGTGAGTTCATATATAACAAAAAATAGCATACCTGTCCGAAAACCTCTGCTAGGGTTTCCAGTCAAGGTCCCCCTATGGCCGCCGCACCTCACCCTCCTACTACCTCCTCTCCTGCGGTGGTGTGTTCAGGCACTTTCTTGCCTGCACATGTGGGGGTTGGCGCAAGAGGGAGTGCGCCCTTTTCCTCTCCTAGCGTTGCCCCATCTCCGTTGCAAGACGATCGGGTGACTCAATCTACCTATGTGAGTTTCCTTGGTGCCACTGCCGCTTTTTCGACTTCTCTAGCAGCAAGCGGTGGAGCCCTAGATGGGTCAGTATTGGGGCATAGCATTCAAGGGGTCTCCTTTGCTACGACGGGCTTCTCCGTCGCCATTCCTCCAGTTCCTACCCTCTCTTCGAATCGCCAACGAGGTAAATAGAGGTCGTCGAAAGCTAACAAGAATCATGTTGGAGACCACTAGCGACACATCGGAAGGCATGGATGTTGCTATACCAGCCCCATCGATGGGTAAATCTAAAGCAGCTTCGATCCCTGTTTTGCAGCAGGGCAAGAACCTTGCAAAGGCCCTCTCTTCTTCGTTTATTGGGCTTCAAGGGGTTGTGACGATTGTCAAGCAGGTTACGAAGTCGATCGCCTTTAGGGACCATGATGGCTGGCAAAGATTCTTCTTCCTCACTAGCGACGATGCATTCCCCCCATGGGTGATTTCTCCGGGGTCCCACTGGCCACACTAACCTCGATTGGTGTGGCGCAAGTTAATGCAATGCACACACTTGGGTCCACACCAAAAATGGAATTGATTCCTCCTGCTAGTTCCCTCCCTAGTGGCTTTTCCTTATCGACACTCTTCGTCGGTGCTTTGCATCCTAGTTCCTCTGCATCGGTGGGCGTTGCCACTGCCTTACAAAAGTCAACTGCTCTTCCTATTGCAATTGAACAACAATTATTGATCCCTGCGGTGTCCTTGTCAACTATGGTACTGAGTGTATCTATCCAAGATGCTTTCGGTGGGGGTAAGAAGCACTAATCTGCTTCCTCCTTGCCATGGAACTCTCCTCTGTCAGTGCAAAAATCTTGAGAGTTCACTCTTCCCTTCAATTTCATAGCCAAAACAGTTCAATTCGTTCTATGAACCTCCCTCTTTTTCTGACGATGGCACTCTTCGTATTCAAGCTTCTGATGAAGAAATCTCCAAGGGAGAGGAGTACTGGAAGAATTCACTTATTGGATATTTTGTTGGATCTCACCCACCTTTCGTCACCATTAGAAACCACGTGAATGCTTCTTGGAAGACCTTAGGTTCCTGGATGTTCTCTCTATGAAAGCAGGATTCTTTATATTCTAATTTGGTGAATGAGATAATCTCATCCAAGTGTTAGAATCTAGACCATGATATTCAAAACAAATTTCTTATCCTTTGACCTTGGGAACATGATTGTCAATTGGAGAAAATTGATTTTTCAGCAATACCAATTTGGGTAACAATATTCAACCTTCATTTATTTATGTGGACTCCTAAATTTCTTAGCTCTATTACTAGTGGCATTGGGAAGCCTTTATTTAGGAACTAGCTCACTGGAAAAAAGGAGAGTATTGGATTTACTAGAGCATGCATTGAAGTTTCTGCTGATTCCGATCTTCCTGATTCTGCATTTTACTCTTAACGATGTCAAAGACTATGCTATTAGACTGGAGTACGATTGAAAACCGATGAGATGTTCACATTGTATGAAACCAGGAATTGTATGAAACACATACCTTCTACTAAATCGGTCCCGAAGCAGCAAGTGGCTACTATCCTACCTATGTTGTAGAAGATCCCCTCTACTACTTCTATGCTAGTAGTATATGATATTGGCCCTACCGTGCCAGGGACTTTCGTGCCACCTGTGTCAGCGACGACTTTTGTGTCAGCTGAACATGATATTGGCCCTATTGTGCCAGTGACTCTTGTGCCACCTGTGTCTAAGGAGACGGTCTCTACTACGTCAAATGTATGTGATATCGGCCCTCTCACAGAAAACATGGATTCAGATTGTGATTTTCCTGTACAATCATGTATCATGACAGTCTCAAAGCAGTGATCATCTTTAACAGATTTGGTGCCCTCACAAGTACAAACATGGTTGAGGATTCTGAAGAGGTAGATGAGGATACTAATTCTGTTTTGCCAGCCTTCAACTCGGTGTCGAAAAGCATCGAGCCTCCAAGAGACCCATGGATCCCAGTTATTTTTTCTTACCTCAGTGTAGAAAAGCATAGTGCCTAGAAGACACCTTCAGATCTCAGCTTGGGGTACATTCTGCATGATTTTTTCACTAGTGATAGTTGTTGGGGCCTTGCATGATGTTGATATGTATGCTCTCTGAGTTTTGTTGGCCTTAGTTGGGTTCTCTTCATCCCTATGCCTTGAAATAGTGAAACATGTCTATGCTATGCTGTACTATTTTTTTATTTATCTTAATACTATTCTTGCCTTTCTGCAAAAAAAGAAAAAAAAGAAAATAGCATACCTTATCTTCTAACCACTGCATGCAAAGAGCACCAAGTTTATCGTCAAAAAAGCCAACACCCAACTGACTGGCCAATAAAGGGATGTACTCAATTATGGCAAGTCGAACACGCCAATGTCTATCTTCCGCAAGTTCAACAATAGCTGGCAGCAGAGACTGGGAAAGCAGACCAATTCCAATTACCTGAACAACATGCAGCTTCTGGTCAAAAGCATTTTTTTATAACATATTTTTCAACACAAAGTAACTAAGTTCTACTTTCAATATGTTCTTGAACCTAACTAGTAAAGCACCAGAAAAGCAAATAGAAGCTCAGTACATGCAAATTGATTGCTAAGCAATGGAATTATACAGTGTATGTTAAATATATGGAATATTAGCCTTGTGCCTAATCCATATGAACAACCAAAACCTCTCTGCCAGATAAAAAAATCCAAATTGTTCAAAAAGGTATTGTTGATTCAAGCAACCGCTTCCATCGGAAAGAGTTCAAGAAATTCCCCAATCAGATAGAGCAAAATGTTGCTAATATTAACGAACAGTCCATCTTCTGTTAGTTCATCAAGAGAACTGCTACAGAACTGAGATATTAGAATGTTTTGGAAGAAATAACGGAAATAATAGATATTAATCAGATTATACAAGAGGGTACAACTATGACGACCCCATCACTTGTATTGGGTTTGAGACAATACTCCATAACTGATTATGTTCATCTCAAATAATCAACCTATATCAAAGTATAAACTATACTTACTAATAAGGGCAGACAATCCTAAACCAAACTGGAAATAATGCCTAACCATAGGTTTAAGTATCAGACAATGATGTGAAGCTCTTTCATGGACATAAGGACTCTAATTCAGATATCATACAGGCATGTAAACAAGTCCGAGACCTGAAACAGGAAGGAACATGAGAGAAAAAAAGGAAACCAAGGGATGTTCTGGATAGAGGAGAGCACAAACAAAGATACAGCCTTCTGAGTTACACAACAGGTATACTCAAGAAAAATAAAAAGCAATAAACAAACATCTCCAGACAGATAATTGTTTCCATAATATTCACTTTTATCAACCAACTTATATGATAATTCCAAATTACATCTTTGTGTTTAGTTCTAGGGAAATAAACAAATATCACCACAGTCACAACCTAACATAAAAAAGATAATGCAGAATTAAAAAACACCGATATCTAAGATGTATATTAAGTTCAAATTTGCTATAGCATTTCATGTTAAACCCTCAGTAGAACAATAATCCTGGACTCGATTCAGTTCACATAAATGTGATTAAAATGCCAAAGCCATGAAACTTTGAAGATAGTTGCCAGAGCATAACATAAGAAATCAAAATCGAAATGATTAATACAATATATATTTATTGACAGTGTTAGCATTCAAGTATGAGCTCTCAGTAGATATCTGGTGACTTTATTTGCTAGCTCTTATATTTCCTTAAAAATAAGCATACTCATAGCTGTTCAGCCCATCAGCCTTTCATGCAATGCAAAAATTGGCAAAAGCCTTTGCTATGGATTAGGTGCATGAGCATCAATCTAAAATTCAAGATAGTCAAGGCTCACGATGATACGGTCCACATCAATGATCAAACACGTAATCAAACCTTCAAGCATTTAGATCAGGATTCTCAATTTCGATATGTACCACCCAGTACGGGTGGTACGTATCAGTCTGAGAGGATACCAGTTTGCGAACCGCCCTCTACCATATGGTATCAATGTTTTAACTAGTACCAAGGCATACCGACCGGTACAAACCCAGATTTTGACCGTTATCGAGGCAAACCAATCGGTATGCCTTGGCATGGTAGGTGGAGATATTTTGAAGGTTTTAGGATGTACATTTAGTACACCAACGGTACATACCAGTACGTACCATACCGAGCTCAATACGGACTGGTATTCAAAACCCTGATTTAGATTATCAAACATAAAAACAACAATCGTCTAAAATAAAAAGAAAATTTAAGCATCATCTCGGCATTAATACCTTTACTCTTCATAATATTCATATCAATCAACTCCAATCAAACTTTTCTGACGTTAACTTGGAATAATTAGTGTAAGCTTCTGCTCTAGCATTTTATGTGAACTGAATCACATAATCTGCTCTAGCCAGATACCTACATTAATCAAAAATTGTACGAGAAACTTCATTACCATGGGCATCTGGCTGGCGTTCTAAATCCAACCTGATATTTCAAGTGATGACCTACCAACAACACATAGAAAGGTCCGGATATATATTTTCCTAACAAAGTTTTCTGCTAGAAGACACAAGTCTTCTAGCAGATGAATCTTTTCCTGATGAGGTTTTGTGCTATAATACAATAATCCTCCCTTCTTCTAGCTCAGGATTGGGTTTGTCATGTAATTATCTATGTATTACCAATGTTTAAAAAGCTAGGTACATGTCCTTACATTAGTATAATATGACAGCAAGCCATGCAGAAACAAAAATAAACTAAAGAATGGCTCTGTTCCATAACTTGGCCCACAAAGATGGTACACAAGCATGCCAAATCTTGTTCAGTAAATGCTAGGCAGTATCTTTGGTATAGCACGCCCACAAAGATGGTACACAAGCATGCCAAATCTCGTTCTGTCACGGACAAAACTGTAAACAGGGTGTTTAATGTAATGCTTATGTATGTCCGTGTCCTTTGGTTTGTTCATGCTTTGCACAGCATGTAGAGGGACGATCGAAGGCTTAAAAGCCTCATTTTAGTTGGGTTTGGTAGTCATTTTAGGCTTGTAAATAAAGGTTGTGTCATGTGGACACTTGTGAGAGATTTCGGTCTGTAGTGGACCATTTGGACCCATTGTTATGCAACCGTTCTGAGCTTGTAAAGTCTGTTTGTAATTTGCATTGACAATGAAGTGTTTTTTGAAATGTTTGCTTGTGGATCCCGAGTGAGACATTTTCTCTAACCCGTTTTCTCTTTTGTAGGTCCTAAGGGACTATGGGAGGTTTCAGGGAGACTGACCTTGCGGACGGATACGCAAGGGTGCCACACGACTTAAGCAAAACGAGCTAAGTCCGTGACAGATGGTATCAGAGCGGGACAACCAGCACGCGCGACCGTTTAGGGGAAAATGGGCATGGAGATGTAGGGATAAGGAGTCACTTAGAGGAGCGGGCATCTGAGATTAGCATTCAGAGGAATGGCCAACCCTTCACGCAAGAGGCACCACGAGGACAAGCAAGCTGGGAAGAATGCATAGCACACAAAGATTGGGATGGCTGAGTTTGAGCTATGGCTCAACGTCGGCAACCATATTTGATGGTGCTCAAGGAAAGCGAGGCGCTTGATAAAGGATGAGAACATGCAAGGCGGAATAGGTTGTTCAGCGACCGAAAGAGTTATGCAAAGCTCACAGAG